TTGAGTATATTAATTATAGGCCCAATTATAACTGATTTTTTCTTCTACCATGAAATCAGTGCAATAACGAAAAGCAATATAAAACGTACCGTGTTTATGCTACAGAATCATTCTCCACGCTTCAATAGAAAAAGAAAAGATCAGAATCACTCTAATGATGTTTTTCGTTCCTACCTGATGAGCATGGTGCAGTCGCAACGAAGGAAAATGGTAAACAAGTTTCTGCGGCCCAATACAGTGACCTCCTGTTTTTATATCTTAGCAAGAAAAATACCGCTATAAGAATTTTTATGGTCGAAAGCATGACCACAACAGTTCTCATCGTACTTCTTCGGAAAGTTTCAGCTAAAACAGATGCCTCTCGTTCGACATAACATGTTTGAATAAAAATCGTAAGTATCACATAAGCACCGAAAATAGTTTATTCTTTAGGTGTTCCATATTTCGAGAAAATCTCATTCGTGTCAGCATCGAGTTTCAGGTTATACTAATAATGGAACTGTTTGTCATGTCAGGGTGTGGGTGTGGGGTGTGGGGTGTGAGTTGGTGTGGGTAAAAGCATCTTTGTGTTAAAGCCTCACACCCACAGCCACACATCCTCACCCACACCCACACCCACATACACACTCACACGCACACGCACACGCACACGCACACCCCACACTCATATCCACACCCACACCCCACATCCACATCCACCCATATCCACCCACACCCACACCCACCCACATTCACCCACACCCACACTCTACCCTTATCTAAGTAGTTCATTATCTATCCTCAACTGTACTCTTAGTTGTAATGTTTTATCTTAGGTGTTCAATCAAAATGATAGCTGGATTTTTATTCTGTTGCTGTTTTAAATATCTCGAATTAGGAGAACAAACGGCTCTTCAATAGTTTATTTTTGTGGAATAGCCATTTGTAAACAAAAATATCGTTATCTGAAGGATTAGAGAAGACATTTCTCTTGTTTGCTTTTGAAACTTTATTTTTACTTTGGACACCAATAAGACTCTCCTGCTATAGATATGAATAAAACGTGTTCTGTTGAACAAACTACAGAAAATATATGAACGTAGTATAATGTTCATATAAAAAAAGTAGAGAAAAAAATTCGTTCGAATGACTAATTCTTTATTTTTATCTCAACGCGTCTATAATATAAAATAAACAAGGCGCCTGAAATACGACGCCCCCGTGCTAGATATTTGGCAATTAAACTTATTCGAAAAGCAATATCAGGCATCCGATTTTACACAAATTGAAATTTGTAAGTACCGTCGTAACACAGGACGTATATTTATCTTTATGTCAGTCTCGACTCGTGGTGGGTCGAAGGATCATCCAGTGAGCACCGATATGTGACATTCTTATCAACACGGTATATGAGTTATAATCTATAGTGGAATTAATGTTTTCTGCTTTTGTTAACTATGGTTCTCATTTTTTTTGAAATCTTCATTTTTGTATTCGAATTCGACTTACGCATATAACTCTAAAAATCAATTAAACTGGGTTGTAAAGAACTTGATAGTGAATCTATTGAAGAAATACTCAAATTCTGGTCTAAGATATTTTAAGTAGATCAAATGCTGTAGCTTCTGACAGGAAGCGTAGATATCATTTATTTTTTTCTTTGCAATATTTGCAAAGAAAAAAAACGTCGGATAACTTTTGTCGTGATGTTTTACTCACCATCAGATAAAACAGAACATAAAATTTACTTTCCACAGATTCAAGATGGAGTGATACTGCGCT